AACACTTGTGTTCCTCTGATAAAAGTGGCTCTCAAGAAATATAAAAAGTTAGATTGCTTTTCCCCTAGAATACCGAGATGATCTTCACCAGTATTTTGAATCTCACTTACCTAATATTTGTTAAAGGACCTACCATTTTCTTTTTGTTTGTTTTAATTCTTTTTTATTATTCTTTGGGGGGCACCTGAGTGACTCAGTTGTTAAGCATCTGACTTTGGCTCACGTCATGCTCTCTTAGTCCATGAGTTAGAGCCCTGTGCCTGGCTCTGCCCTGACAGCTCAGAACCTGGAGCCTGCTTGGGATTTTGTGTCTCCCTCTCTGCCCTTCCCCTGCTCTTTCTCTCTCTCTCTTTCTAAAATAAACATTAAAAAAAAAAGAAAATACCAAGAGATCTTCACTGGTGTGTTCAATTTCACTTACCTAGTATTTCTTTTTTTTTTTTTGTTTTTTTAACATCTATTTATTTTTGAGAGACAGAGAGAGAGACCAGAAGCAGGGGAGGAGCAGAGAGAGAGGGAGGCGCAGAATCCAAACCAGGCTCCAGGCTTCAAGCTGCCAGCACAGAGCTCAACGTGGGGCTTGAACTCATGGACCGTGAGATCATGACCTGAGCTGAAGTTGGCCACTCAACCAACTGAGCCACCCGGACACCCCACTTACCTAGTATTTCTTAAAGGACCTACCATTTTCTTTTTTGCTTGTTTTTTTAATTGTTTTTTTAATTCTTTTTTAATGTTTTTATTTAAATTTCAGTTAACACAGTGTAATATTGGTTTCAGGTGTACGGTATAACGATTTAGCACTTCCTTACAACACCTGATGTTCATCACAAGTGCGCTCCTTATTCCCTATCACCTATTTAATCCATCCCCCACTCCTTTCCCCTGTGGTAACCATCATTTTGCTCTGTATAGTTAAGAGTCTGTTTTTTGGTATGCCTCCCTCTCTCTCTCTCTTTTTTTTTTTTTTTTACTTTGCTCATTTGTGTTTCTTAAATTACATCGATGAGTGAAATCATATGGTATTTGTTGGTCTCTGACTTATTTCACTTAGCATAGTGCTCTCTAGCTCCACCTATGTCGTTGCAAATGGCAAGATTTCATTCTTTTTTATGGCCGAGTAATATTCCATTGTATATATACCACATCTTTATCCATTCATCAGTCTATGTACACTTGGGCTGTTTCCATAATTTGGCTATTACAGACAATGCTGCTATAAACATTGGGGTACATTTATCCCCAATAAAAAATTAGTATATATATATTTTTATTCTTCGGGTAAATATCTACTATTGCAATTGCTGGATCATAGGGTAGGTCTATTTTTTACTTTTTGAGGAACCTCTATACTGTTGTCCAGAGTGACTGCACCAGTTTGCATTCTCACCAACAGTGCAAGAGGGTTCTGCTTTCTCCACATCCTCACCAACAGCTGTTGTTTCTCATATTGTTGATTTTAGCCATTCTGTCCTGTGTGAGGTGATATCTTATAGTTTTGATTTGTATTTCCTTAATGATCAGTGATGTTGAGCATCTTTTCATGTGTCTCTTGGCCATCTGGATGTGTTCTTTAGGAAAATGTCTATCATGTCTTCTGCCCATTTTCTAATTAGATTATTTGGGTTTTTTTGCATGTTGAGTTCTATAAATTCTTTATATATTTTGGATACTAACCCTTTATCAGATATTTCATTTGCAAATGTCTTCTCCCGTTCCTAAATTGCCTTAGTTTTATTGATTGTTTACTTTTCTGTGCAGAAGCTTATTTTGATGAAGTCCCAATATTTTATTTTTGCTTTTGTCCCTTGCCTCAGGAGACCTATCTAGAAAAAGGTTACTGCCTCTGTTTTCCTCTAGGGTTTTTATAGTTTCAGGTCTCACATTTAGGTCTTTCATCCATGCTGAATTTATTTTTGTGTCCTGTGTCAGAAAATGTTCCGGTTTCATTCTTTTGCATGTTGCTGTCCAGTTTTCCCAGCATCATTTGTTGAAGTGACCATCTTTTTCCCATTGGATATTCTTTCCTGGTTTGTCAGAGATTAGTTGACCATATATTTGTTGATTCATTTCTGACTTTATAGTCTGTTCCACTGATGTGTCTATTTTTGTGCCAGTACTATACTGTTTTGATCACTACAGCTTTGTAATATAACTTAAGTCTGGAACTGGGAAGCCTCCAGCTTTGCTTTCTTTTTCAAGGAGGACCTATCATTTTTTAAAGGAAATTTGCCTGAAGGATTTATTTATATCCATAGAATTAATAGAAGCAGCATTTCTCCCTACTTGTGGTCATATGCCTTGTAATCCACTTGTGGCTTTATTCTACATGTGTTAATGTGTTCTGCATCAAACTGAGTCATTGTTTCAAGCAGCAGAGCATATTCTTTGTAAAGTTTTTTATATATTACCAGTCTATATAAGTGGATATTATCACTCAGCAGCTATGTCATATATCCCATAAACATGGTTAAAGAGATTTATAAGAAGTTCCTTCTGCAAGAAGCCACTTATAATTTACTGAGTGTTGGTTGTATTTTCATGAGTGGTTTTTCATATGATAACAAGCCCTGTTTTGTGCATTTTACAATTTTGTACCAGAACCTTTTAACTTTAAAAAAAATGTTTCATTGAGGAACCTTATCCTTAGAGACACATTCTTTATGTTAAGTATCTTGATTTTTAGGATTTTAAAGGGTTAATGCATTACATCCCTTTCCCTCTTTTGGAGCCACTAGAGAAATAAGAAAATTCATTATTTTGGGGCCAAAATACCAGCTTTTTTACTGATTAAAAATTGGTTTGGAAGAGTTAGCTTTGTGTAATTCAAGTGTGCTTCTTAATACATAATCTCAGAATTCATTTACCCACCACACTGCAGGATTACTACTGGCAGTTTCTTGGGACATGTCAGAAAGCATTAATAGGAACTTGTCTTTGCAAGAGGGTGGTCCAGCAAAGCATACATATCCAGTTAGTTCTCTCAGGTAACTTCTCCTCCCAAAGCAAGGAGTGATGAAGGGTAGAGAGAAACCAGGCTTATTTCCAGCTGAAGTTCTTCCTCTTAGAAACCTTAAACAAAGAAAATGAAGCTTCACTCATAACCCTGAATAGTGCTTTTAATTGTTCACAGTGAGACTTTCTTTCAGGTTTTACTCAAGAATGAATCTCGACTTTTACTTAAATACATATATGTATGTATAGTTCATATATATTTAGTACCTATATACGTTTGGTCTTTGACAGTAGACTTTCTATAAAGAACACTTGTCTTATACTCGTCTTGTTCTATGTAACATTTGTCACCAGCTGTCTGTTACTATTCGCGGCCTCAAACAGGTATAATTTTTTAGTTTCCTTTTAATTGTCTTTAAAGGGTCAGCTGCTTTTGCTCTACGGCATTAATTAAACACTAATTTAGAGCCATAGTGACATAATTGTTAGAGAAATGAAAAATTACCAATTTCTCTAGTCCCTGCTTTCTTCATCTATAAAGAGTAGATTTTCTATATGATACTATCTAGTTCTGAAGTTCTGATGTCATGTAAACAAACAAAATTCTGTATTCTAATTAAAAATACTCGGGGCGCCTGGGTGGCGCAGTCGGTTAAGCGTCCGACTTCAGCCAGGTCACGATCTCTACCGGGTCCGGATTCCGAGCCCCGTGTGGTGGGCTCCTGACTTGGCAGAGCCTGGAGCCTGTTTCGATTCTGTGTCTCCCTCTCTCGCCCTCCCCGTTCATGCTTTGTCTCTCTCTGTCCCAAAAATAAATAAAAAAACGTTGAAAAAAAAAATTTTTAAAAATACTGTGAGGGCGCCTGAGTGTCTCAGCAGGTAAAGCATCTGACTCTTGATCTCAGCTAAGGTCTCAGAGTTTCTGAGTTCAAGCCCCACATTGGTCTCAGTGCTGGCAGCACGGAGCCTGCCTGGGATCCTCTCTCTCCCTGACCCTTCCCTGCTTGTTCTCTCTCTCTCTCTCTCTCTCTCAAAATAATAATGTACTTTTATTACTTATTTAAAAAATAAATAAAAATACAGTGAGGTGTAATCTTTTTTGCTTAATAAATGTGCCTCTTCAAAAACAAAATGTTTTATGAATAACATTTAAATGTAGATTAAGGTTCCTATTAAAATTAAGGTTCCTATTAAGGTTCCTATTAAAATGTAGATTAAGGGGCGCCTGGGTGGCTCAGTTGGTAGCACCCGACTTCGACTTCGGGGCCCAGGTCATGACCTCACAGTTGGTGAGTTCGAGCCCACATCGGGCTCTGTGCTGATGGCTCAGAGCCTGGAGCCTGCTTCAGATTCTGTGTCTCCCTCTCTCTATGCCCCTCCCCTGCTCTGTCTCTCTCTCTCAAAAATAAATAAACATAAAAAAAATAAATAAATAAAATAAAATAAACTTGAAAACTGATTTTTTTTTTCAGTTTATTTTGTAGGTGATGAAACTAACATATAGCAGAGTTAAGAAATGTATATTGGGAATAGAATCCAGGTTCATTGTATGTACCTACTATACTAAGTTACTTGGTGTAAATGATGTGGGACCATAAGTTTTATCATCTCTACTTACTTACACATACTCTCAATATATATCCATAAGCACCTTAAAAATTGCATAAGACCTTAACAAAAAGAGTGCTTTTAAAACGAAGCTAGTATTATTATACTAATATTGTTTAAATATCCCCTTCTGAAGAATTGTATTCATTCATCAGTGTTTTAGTGTCAAGTGATGTTCTGATGGAAACTTTCAGTGTTCAAGATAGAAAAAAAAAAATCTATTTACAGTTGTATTTTGAGAAGATAACTTTATAAACCAATTTCTATTGAACATAAGCAATCTTAACAGTGGTATTGACAATATAGCCTTAGATGTTTAATTCTTTTTATGTTTAAGTTTTATTTTTTTTTATTTTTGCACTCATAGTTAAAAAAATAATGTCAATCCTGTGAATAATATCTTTAACATATTTTATCTTTATGTGTATATATGTTAGATGGAAGATGGTGCTCCAAAGCATATCATCCAGATGACGGGATTTAAGATGGAAGAAAAGGAAGCTCTAGGCAAATTGCTTTTAAAACTAGATTGCACTTTTATTAAGAGTGAGGTGAGTACAGAAACTTACCAACTATTTAAAATAGAATTGAAAAATAATATTGGCCTAAGAATGATAAAATGTCCTCCTGATATTATAAGAATAAAATAAATGTGCTATAAAAGAAATCTTACCTTAGTAATGTTTCTTCACTTGGATTTTTTTCTTCCAGAAATACAAAAATTGTACACATCTTATAGCTGAACGTTTGTGTAAAAGTGAAAAGTTTTTAGCAGCTTGTGCAGCAGGTAAATTAACTAATTTCCTCCTTGAATGAAAATCTTCATGTGAAAAAAGAAGTACCTTCATCACCAAAAGATAGTATGCTTATTATATCAAATAAATGTGGTTTTTCCTGATATTTTTCTGAAAATATGTTATAATATTTTTTTGTTTTATTTTTCTAAGGAAAACTTTGTAACACACGAAAATGTATCAAAGAGGCATAAATCCTTAACTTTACCAAAGACTTAGTGTTTTACATAAATGTTTTATGTCAGAAAAAAAAAATTAACAAAAAAGATAGGCACAAAATGCCAAAAAAAAAAAAAAAAAAAGCTTTTCTTGAGGCTTCAGTGAACTGTTCTAGTCAAGTTTTCTTTGATCTGTCGTTGAAAAGAGACTTTGTTCTCCTTCTACTGCCTCTGTTCCCACCCGTGCTATGAAGCAATGATCAAGCAATGAACAAAACAGTGTTTTGTTTTTCTAAGATTTTAATTCCATAAGTCCAACTTGGGATTTAGTGTCCTCCCTTCTATCTTTGTCATCCTTGATGTTCCTTTTATTGTTTCTTTTACTGTGATTGATCTGGCATGTCATCAGTCCACTAATTTTCAGAAAAAAATTATATATAATACCAGTAAATTTATTATTTTTTAGAGTAACTCACCAAAAGGATACTTGGATTTATTTTTATATCTGAAAATGAAAACCTATACTGTCCATACTGTTGAAAACAATTATTGATGCCCAGTTAAAGAAGGTGCAAGAGTGTTTGTAAATTTCTTTTACAAAGTGTAACATTGCTGTAAACATCATTGCAAAAGTTATTAGCATAGGAGGAAAAATATAAATCTCAGCCAAATTGGTGAATAGTAATAGTAGACATAATTTAAGTAATACCACATGTATTTTATTAAGCCTTGGGTTTGTATTTTCTTCAGTAATGTTTTTAGACTTAGAATTATTATGGGAAAAATTACATACAATGTTCAGTGACATTGTAACCCTCTACCAAAAATTTGGGGAAACAAACATAATTCAAAGATCGTGTTGGCAACATAGCCTAAAGGTCTCATGTTGAAAAAGGTCAAACTTTATTTGATATTTAGTCCTTATTGTTTACCATTCATTAGAACCAAAATTATTTTGTGACTGACAGTTGATTTGCTTTCTAGGAAAGTGGGTACTAACTAAGGACTACATAATTCATAGTGCCAAAAGTGGCAGATGGCTTGATGAAACAACTTATGAATGGGGCTATAAAATTGAAAAAGACTCTCATTATTCGCCTCAAATGCAATCTGCACCTAAAAGATGGCGTGAAGAGCTGAAACGCACTGGTGCTCCAGGAGCCTTCCATAGATGGAAAGTTGTCCTCCTTGTTAGAGCTGATAAACGAAGTGATTCTCTTGTAAGGTGAGATGAGTTCAATCTCATGAAAGCTAAAGCAATGAACAAAAAAAAAACAATTTTGGTTTGCATGAATACCTTTTTGAATTTCTTTGAAATTTGTGATTTAGTCCAATTGAGCTATGATGATTTACTCTTTAAACTCAGAGTTAAGTCATTCTGTACATTTAAGTAAATGTGTCTACTAGAACAAAATCTATTTTATAGTATTGATTTAGATTACTCTTGGGGTTTCTGTTTAACTTTCCATGTTATTTGTTTTGGGTAACTCAAGCAAAATAAAACTTAAAAGATTTTGATTTTAGTTTTGAAGCAATTTAAATTTTTATAAGTATTACTGAGGTGTTTTCTGGGTCTATATAGTGCAGGCTTCATGGTTCATACTGTTTCCTTTGTTTCTTCCTGTTTTTTACATCGTATTTTTAAAAGTCTTCTGAGTAAACTGTATTCTGGGACTGTGATAACTATTAGGGGTGATGCAAGGGCCTTTTGTCACCTGTACAGAAGTTTTATTTATAGGTAAGTAAAATGTATACATTTTAAGTATACATTTTGATGAATTTGGACAAATTTATATACCCATGTTTCCCCCCCCACACCCACACTACTCTCAAGATCTGTAACAATTATGTAATTCTACAATGTTCCCTTGTGTCATTGCACATTTAATTTTGCCCCACCAATGTAGGACAACCATTAACTTCCTTTGTGTCACCCACCACACATTAAATTTGTCTTTTTTTTTTTTTTTAACTTCATGTGAATGGAATTCTGTATATACTCCTTTTATATAGTTTCATTTGCTTAACTCATTATTTTTGAGATTCATCCAGGTTATTGTATCATCCAGGTTCATTACTTTTTGTTGCTTAGTAGTATTTCACTTAGCAGATGTATTGCTGTTTATTCACCCATTGATAGACATTTGTTTTTTGTCTTTGTTTTTGTTTTTTTCATTTGTGCTAATATAAACAAAGCTGCCATGAACATTTGAGTACAAGTCTTCATGTATATTTGTTTTTATCTCTCTTGGGTAAATACCAAGAATGAAATTTCTGACTGAGATGGCAGTTGTATATTTAACATTATAGGAAAATGCCAAACTATTTTCTGAAGTTGTGTAAGATTTCAGTTGCTGTGCAATTACTTTGACACTGTTGTCCAAATATCACTTGACTGTAGTTGTGTATTTCTGGGCTTTTTACTCCACTGGTGTCTGTGTCTGCCTTATACCAAAAACACACAGTTTTGGTTCCTGTAGCTTTATAATGAGTCATGAAGTCAGGTGGAGCGAGTCCTCCAAATTTGTCTTACTCAAAATGTTTTTGGTGGTTCTGGAATATTTATTTCCTTATACATTTTAGAACCACCTTGTCAATTCCTACAAAAAAAAAAAACAGCTGGGATTCTGATTAGGATTTTATTGGATCTATAGGTCAAATTGGGAAGAATTGAGATCTTAACAATACTGAGTTGTCCTACCTATATACACCATATCTCTCCAAGTCTTTGATTCTGTCATTAAGGTATTACAGTTTTCATATAAATATTGAACATATGCTGTTGCATCTGTTGAGATAATCAGCATTTTTCCTTTACTCTGTTAATACGGTAAATTATTTTGATTATATGTAATTCCAGTTAGTTACATACAGTGTAGTATTGGTTTCAGGAATAGAATTTAGTTATTCATCACTTACAGATAACACCCAGTGCTCGTCCCTACAAGTGCCTTCCTTAGCCCGTTTAGCCCATCCTCCCTCCTACTTCCCCTCCAGCACCCCTCAGTTTGTTCTCCTTAGTTAAGAGTCTCTTATGGTTTGCCTCTCCCTATTTTTATCTTAATTTTATTTTCCTTCCCTTCCCCTACGTTAATCTGTTTAGTCTCCTAAATGCCACACACATATGAGTGAAATTATGATATTTGTCTTTCTCTAACTGACTTGCTTCATTTAGCATAATATACTGTAGTTCCATTCATGTCCTTGCAGTGGCAAGATTTCATTCTTTTTAATGGCTGGGTAATATTTCATTGTATGTGTTTACCAGATCTTCTTTATCCATTTATCAGTTGATGGACATTTAGTCTCTTTCCATAACGTGACTATTGTTTATAGTGCTGCTATAAATATTGGGGTGCATGTGCCCCTTCAAATCAGTATTTTTGTATCCTTTAGATAAATACCTAGTAGTGTAAGTGTTGGACCATAGCGTGGTTCTAGCTTTAACTTTCTGAGGAACCTCCATACTGTATTCCAGAGTGCCTGCGCCAGTTTGCATTCCCAACAGGTAAGCAGGTTCCCCTTTTCCCACATCTTTGCCAGTATCTCTTGATTTGAGTTATTAATTTTAGCCATTCCAATAGTTGTGAGGTGGTATCTCATTGTGGTTTTGATTTGTATTTTCTTGATGATGAGTGATGTTGAGCATTTTTTCATGTGGCTGTTAGCCATTTGTATGTCTTCTTCGGAGAAGTATTTATTCATGTCTTCTGCCTATTTTTTTACTGGATTTTTTGGTTTTTTGGGGGTGTTTGATAAGCTCTTTTTTTTTTTTTTTTTAAATTTTTTTTAACGTTTATTTATTTTTGGGACAGAGAGAGACAGAGCATGAACGGGGGAGGGGCAGAGAGAGAGGGAGACACAGAATCGGAAACAGGCTCCAGGCTCTGAGCCATCAGCCCAGAGCCTGACGCGGGGCTCGAACTCAGGGACCGCGAGATCGTGACCTGGTTGAAGTCGGACGCTTAACCGACTGCGCCACCCAGGCGCCCCTGATAAGCTCTTTATAGGTTTTGGATACTAATTCTTTACTAGATAATGTCATTTGCAAATATCTTCTCCCATTCTCTAGGCTGCCTTTTAGTTTTATGGATTGTTTCCTAGCTGTGCAGAAACTTTTTATCCTGGTGAAGTCCCACTAGTTCATGTTTGCTTTTGTTTTCCTGGCCTCTGGAGATGTGTCTAGTAAGAAGTTGCTACAGCTCTGGTCAAAAAGATGGTTGCCTGTGCTCTCCTGTAGGATTTTGATGGTTTCCTGTCTCACATTTAGGTCTTTGATCCATTTTGAATTTATTTTAGCGTGTGGTATAAGAAAGTGGTTTAATTTCATTCCTTTGCATGTTGCTGTCCAGTTTTCCCAACACTATTTGTTGAAGAGACTATCTTTCCCATTGGATATTCTTTCCTGCTTTGTCGAAGATAAGTTGACCATATAGATGTGGGTGTATTTCCGGGTTTTCTATTCTGTTCCGTGGATCTCTGTGTCTGTTTTTGTGCCAGTGTTATACTGTCTTGATGACTACAGCTTTGTGATGTAACTTGAAGTCTGGAATTGTGATGCCTTCAGCTTTGGTTTTCTTTTTCAACATAACTTTGCTTATTCAGGTTCTTCTCTGGTTCCATACAAATTTTAGGATTGTTTGCTCTAGGTATGTGAAAAATGCTGGTGGTATTTTGCACTGGGGATTTGCACTGGTATTTTACACTGGGGATTGCACTGAATGTGTAGAATGCTTTCAATAGTATAGACATTTTAACAATATTTGCTCTTCTGATTCATAAGCGTGGAATGTTCTTCCATTTCTTTGTGTCATCTTCAGTTTCTTTCATAAGTGTTCTATAGTTTTCAGAGTACAGATCTTTTACCTCTTTGGTTGGATTTATTCCTAATCTTAAGGTTTTTGGTGCAGTTGTAAATGGGATCAATTTCTTAATTTCTCCTTCTGCTGCTTCATTATTGGTGTATAAAATGCAGCAAATTTTCGCACATTGATTTTGTATCCTGCCACTTTGCTGAATTCGTGTATCAGTTCTGGCAATTTTTTGGTGGAGTCTTTCAGGTTTTCCAGATAAAGGATCAAGTCATCTGCAGAGAGTGAGAGTTTGACTTCTTCCTTGCCAGTTTGAATGCCTTTTCTTTTTGTTGTCTGATGGCTGAGGTTAGGATTTCTAGTACTATGTTGAACAACACTGGTGAGAGTGGATGGCCCTTTCTTGTTCCTGACGTTAGGGAGAAAGCTCTCAGGATTTCCCCACTGAGGATGAGAGTAGTTGTTAGTCTTTCTATTATGGCCTTTATGATGTTGAGATACATTCCTTTTATCCCTGTTTTCTTGAGGGTGTTTACGAATAAAAGGATGCTGTATTTTGTCAAATGCTTTTTCTGCATCTATTGAGAGGATCATTTGGTTATCGTTTCTTTTATTAATATATGACATTGATTTATGATAATTCTTTTAATGTACTCTTGGACTTGCTAGTATCTTGTAGAGAATTTTGTTTTGATGTACATCAGGGATATTGGTCTGTAATTCTCCTTTTTAGTGACTTCTTTGGTTTTGGAGTCAAGGAAATACTGGCCTCATAGAATGAGTTTGGAAGTTTTCCTTCTGTTTCTGTTTTTTAGAATGGTTTTGAAAAAATAGGTAGTATTTCTTTAAATGTTTGGTAGAATTCCCCTGGGAAGTCATCTGGCCCTGGACTCTTGTCTGTTGGGAGATTTTTGATTACTGATTGAATTTCTTTACTGGTTATGGTTCTGTTCAAGAACCAGCTATTAGTTTTATCTATCTGTTCTACCTTTTTTTTTTAATTATTCCTATGTGATTTATTTCAGCTCTAAATTTTATTATTTCCCTTTTTCTGCTGGTTTTGGGCTTCATTTACCATTATTTTTCCCGATCCTTTAGGTGTAAGGCTAGGTTGTGTATTTGAGACTTTGCTTCCTTTTTGAGGAAGGCCTGAATTGCTGTATACTTCCCTCTTAGGACCGCCTTTGCTGCATCCCAAAGGTTTTAGACTGTCATGTTTTCATTTTCTTTGGCTTTCATGTATTTTTTAATTTCTTCTTTAATTTTCTGGGTTAACCCATTCATTCTTTAATAAGATGTTCTTTAACCTCCATGTATTGGTGGTCTTTCCAAATTTTTTCTCGAGTGACTTCAAGTTTCATAGCGTTGTGGTCTGAAAATACGCCTGATATGATCTCAGTCTTTTTGTACTGGT